GAATTAATGAGGTACTTCCCAAAGTGAAAGAATTAAAAGTTAGAGCCTGATTTTACATGGCATGGGAGAAAGACAGGGCAAGAAATAGTGTGCCAGGCTTACGAACAAGAAAAAGCAACTGAACCTTTATCTAAAGTTGGAAAATAGATTAATAAAGGCAATGCTTTTATTTTTCTCATCAGTAACTCATTCACTCATTTATTTCTTGATGAACATGTATTAAGCATACACTGTAAGCAAGGCACTGTGCTAGATAACAATGAGCAAGATAACCCTGATCTTTGCCCTCCTGGAGTTGATAATCTCACAATAGCTCAAGGCTGCAAACTGACAAAAGTTCTGTATTATAAAGAAAATAAATATTTAAAAATGTATGTGAAAAGTATGTATGATCTACTGCAATATATTTTAAATATATATGAAAGAATAACTCTGGAGAACTTATTTAGATAAAAGTAGTAACAGAGCCTGGCTTGATAAATTACACCTGTAATCCAGCTACAGCTACACAGGAGGCAGAAAATGGGAGGATCACCATGCAAGGCGATCCTGTTTCAATCAACATGTTGGGTGTATTGGGACCTGCCCCTCTTCCCAAATACATAGGAAAGAGTAGGTTGGAAGATTACAGTGCAGCTAGCATGGACAAAAATGTAAGTCTATCCAAGAATCAACTCTAGCAAAAAAGGGTTATACCCATGTCTCACATGGTAGAGGACCTTCAATAAAGAAGGCAAAGATCAAGGGGGTAACCATGTTCAACAAGAAATGTACTCATTACCTTACGTATGTAACTGTAACCCTCTGTACATCACTTTGACAATAAAATTAAATTTCAAAGAAAGAATTCAAAGATCCAGTTTGTGTTGTTCATTGTTATTTAGCACAGTGTCTAGCCCATAATATATGCTTAATACATGCTCACCAAAGAATAAATTTGTGAATGAGTTACTGAAGAAGAAAAATGAAGCATTAATTTTGTTGGTTTTATAATCTGCAGACTAAGCTCAAGACCTTGGGCTTATCAAGTACTTCAGTACTGATAGTAAAAAAAGATCTCTATAAAGAAGTACAGTCTAAAAGCTGAAAGGTAAAAGAAATAAAATAAATAAGTAGGACAAGAACAGGGAAACCATTCCAGGAAGATGGGTTTGCATATGCAAAGGCCCCCTAAGCTAGAAAAGATTTTTGCAGCAAGGAACTAAAGATTCTATGTGACTAGAATAGAGTTTAAGCAGACAGACTGGCACAGTGAACAAATGACTGGAGAGATTTTGTGAGCCAAAATGTCCAACTGAGACTGCATTCTAAGGATGACAAGAATTATTCAGCAGAGGAATAGTATGACCTGATTCACAATTTCATCCGGATCAACGTTGTGTCTGTGTGAAGAAGGACTTCAAAAGCAAAGGCTGTGCAGTGTTCCAAGCAAGAGACCATGCTTCCCTTGGCCAAAACATAGCATCAATACTGGAAACAAGTTGACAGATTCATACAGTTTAGAAACAGAACCAACAGAAGTCAATGAAGGGTTTCAATATGGTATGAGAGCAATGAAGCGAAGATGATTTCTATCAAATGCTTATTGCTATGTAAGGTCTGTGGCTTTTTTTCCAAAAAATACAATCATCACATGATGTACTGCCAACATATAAAAGAATCTGAACCACAGGATGTTATGTGTCTATAGATACAGGAAAGAGAACATCCTAGATTCAAGAATAATAGAAACTACATGTGACTGTGTTTGAAAAACAATAATAAGGAACAGGTTTTCATAGAAAGTGAGTTTTTCATAAGAATTTTATTGTCATATTGGTGCCAGAGGCCTGTGGTTTCCCCAACATCAGAGGATTAAACGTCCTTTTCTTTTTTTAACATCTTTTTCTATATCTGGATGCAAAAATTCCAGATTTTAAGAATTGCACCATGAACAGCTTTGTTAAATGGCAATTCCTTTGTACAACTACTTAAAGATAATTTTTTAATTATTTTAAAGAACTGCACCAGAAAAACCAACCCGCAATGCACCTCATCTCCATGACATACAGCAGAGAAATTGAACAGATCTTCAGTTCAACTTAGCAGGTTCATACCAGATATATCTCAAAGATAGATTACAGTATCACTCATCATGCAGGAAAAGAAAAACAAACTAGAAAATGCAGATGTATAAGTAATATCCCTATTATCATTGAACCGTTCGGTCCTTAACAACTGTTTCTCCCAAGGAATTCCTCAAAAAACGTAACCTATGATATAAAGTAGTTTCCCAAGGAGGTAATCTCTGAGGATTCACCTTCAGCACCAACTGCCACTTGGTGATGGCACACATTTGTTATCCCAATTACTTGAGAAGTATAGATAGGAGGAACAAGGTCAGCCAAATAGCTGTGGGAAGGGGAAACTAAAGCAAAAAGGGCTGGGAGGTAAAATACCTACCTAGTGAGTGTATTTTCAAACCTTAGTTAGGACAGGACAGGACAGGACAGGAAAGGGGAAAGGAAAAGGAAAAGGAAAGGGAAAGGGAAAAGGAAAGGTTAAGGAAGGGAAGGAATAAAGGAGGGAAAAAAAGTGAGAAAAAGAAAAAATTGCCATATTTATATTATACTCAATAGTCAAACTGACCTTGCCAAATGCCACTGAGAGCCACAAGATACCATGACTGACAAGTTCAGGTTCAGTGTCTTTCTGAACTGCTCATTCTTAATTCCCTACCTGAGTGTAACTGGCCCTGCTTGTATTGATCTTCCTGAGAATCTAGAACATAATTATAATCTCAAAATCCTAGCTGAATATCACTCTATGGTTTTTATATATATAATAATGAACTCTTTCCTACAGAATGGGTGATGATGCTTGGTAAGAAATGTACGCATTATCCTGCCCATGTAATTGTAACCCCTCTGTACAGTATGTTCACAAATAAAATAAAATAAAATTAAAAAAAAAAAAAGAATGGGTGATGAAAGGGGGAGCGGGGGAGACAGAGAGAGAGAGAGAGAGAGAGAGAGAGAGACCGACCATAAATGTCCTGGACACAACACTGCTTTGATACTGGTTCAGGTCTTACCCAAAACATAGTAAGTAGAGATAAACTGCAGTAATAATATACATGGGGATGTTATCTTTTGTTTGTCCAAACTATCAATTGTGACCTTTTTAAAACGCATATTGAGGGGCTGGGAAAGTGGCTCAGTCATAGAGTGCTTGCCTTGCATGCATGGAGTCCTGGGTTCGATTCCTCACAGCACATAAGCAGAAAAAGCTGGAAGTGGCGCTGTGGCTCAAGTGGTAGAGCACTAACCTTGAGTTGAAGAGCTGAGGGACAGAGCCAGGCCCAGAGTTCAGGCCCCACAACTGACCAAAAAAAAGCATATCCAGATCTGTGCTCCAGATACACTTTGTTATTTGGGGGGATAAAGGTCCCTCAACATTCCAAGAGAAGTATAGAACTTCAGTGTCTGGCCCTCTGTTCCCTTCTAAGTCTCACATTTATTCTGACACTTTTATAGTTCAGTGGTCCATCTCAAAAATTCCTTTGTAACCTTTAACTCAGTGGCCTATCTGTACCACTCCTGCACCATAGTAACTTCTCTAGGTTCCTAAGCCACCTGCTGAGTACCAGTGGTAAGGCTCTAAAAAGTTCACATCATTACACTTCACACCAGCTTTAATTTAAGTCTGTGAATTCACTTTTCAACACCCCTTAGCTGTTCATCCTAATTTGGCCTGTCATCACCTTCAATGACAGAACCTGATCTTTATCATTGCCACCCATAATGCATTTTATGCAGGGTCTGTATTTCTGCAAGGGTAGCAGAGGGATGGAGAATGTGCGGCACTCTGCCAACATGAGAAGCTGTCACTGTGTAATTCCTGTTGGGGAATCTTCCAAAACTGGCATGTGTTTCCACTGCACATGCTCATTCTCACTTCGGCCACAGGCTAACCCTACAGCCAAATACTCTCCACATTAAAAGAGACAAAAGCAACATGAACATGGGCCTAAACACACGGTCCACTGTATTACTTGCGTTCAGAGGTGTTTTTGGTCTACTGCTATTCTGTTCTTGGAAACTTTTCACAATGCATGATAGACACTCTGCTCAACGTTTCACTTCAAGACTTAGTTCGCCCTTCATTCTTCTAAGTTACATCAAGCTTTCCCACAGCCCCTTTTAAATACCTTTATGTTTTTCCCAAAATGTAATCTCCACAGGCCCTCAGTGTACCTAACCCAATTCAGAATCTGGCCCCTTAGACTTGTCTCTATAGATACACAACATAGATTCAACAGAAACAAAATGCATGTGACTGCTCTCAAGTGGCATGAATGAAATTTAAGGCAGATCATTCATTGAGTTTTCCCCTAAGAATTCTGTTTTGTAACCAGCATAAACACTCACCCAAACACACAGCCCATTCTATCATGTTGGGCCTCAGGGTGTTCTCTGACTTATTCCTGCTAAACTGGATACATTATGCCTCCTATGTTCAACATCTCGAAAGTACTTGAATTCGATCTAGGTAAATGTCACCTGCAACGCTGACATTTGGAAGGATATCTAAGTATGTATGCACATACTCTCATTTTAACCTATTGTCTCAACAAAACCTTTTCCTAAGCAGAAACAATCCGAAGAGTTTATTAAAAGTTTTCCAGCCACTGTTGATCACCAAACTAAATGCCACCTGTAACACTGTCCCATTTTACTAACAGAATATACAATACATAACTCTACCTATTACTAACAGAATGTACAGTACATAACTCTACCTAAACTGTTATCTGATTTGCTTTTTAAATTAGCACAGAATCTTTTACTTGACTTCACAGATCAACCTGTCTGGCTTAAGAAAAACATCTCCACCAACATTTTCCTTCAGAGACCATTCCCATATAACTGTTTCACTCCATGAGCCCCAAAATTCTAGAAGGTATCTTCCCCCAGGATAAGGAGCAAAGCAGAGAGGCACTGAGCCCAGAGATTACTCACTAAGAGGTTTGAGGATACTGCTGCTGGACTCATCAGCATTCTCCACATCTGATTTGTCAGAGTAGTTCTCAGAGATTCTCTCCTTTTCCTTCTTTTCTTTATGCCCTGTCTTTCTCTTGTGACGTCTCCTTCTCCGGTAGCTCTTGGGCACGTGGACCCCAATGTAGATGGTATGGTGACCTAAATAGAAGGTACAACACAAATTTTCAGTAATATCCAATAGTTTAGGGGGAGGGGTTAGTACTGAGGATTGAATTCAGGACCTCACACTTTCTAAGCAAGTGCTCCACCCTACTTAAGCCACACCCCTAGACCTTTTGTTTTTTAGTATGTTTTCCAGATAAGGGCTTAGGCTTTTGCCTCAGTCAGCTTCAGATTATGATACAAGTAGGTAGGATTACAGGTGTGTGCCCTCACCACCACCACCACCACCACCACCACCACCACTACCCCACACACACACAACACCATCAAATTCTATTATCTGCTACACACAAAATATTCAAGATCCACAGGTCTGAGAAAAGATCTATGAATTCAATGGTATCATTCACTACTTGGCAAATCAGAACTGGAAAATGAGAATTCTCTCCTAATTTTCATGTAGTAACACTGTAATTAAACTTGTTGGTTCTAGAACTAGATTTGTACTAGTATGGACTGTAGTTCTATCCAGATGACCTTCTTTCTGTCTAGGAAAACAAGTAAATACCAAAGTGCCAGGAGTCCTTGCCTATGGCCACATCTCTGCCATCAATGAACTATAGGCTCTTCTTAACTACATTGGGTCTCAATCCCATCATTCATTTGGGTAAGCCCTAGAGGCTTTTCCTGTCTATCCTTGTTGAGTGTGTGATTGTATTGGCTAAGGTGCTAGAAAGGGAGCTACAAAAATAAAGATCTAAAGCAAAGTTCAAAAAGTCAAAAAAAAAAAAAAGGTCATTGTGCTGGGGAAAAAGTTTTACAGTATAACTTTTTGTCTTTTTTTTTACCCTATCAGCAGAACAGAGACTTAGAACTGGGACAGACTGAGATAAGAAGACATAGTTGGAGAGAAGATTTTAGAAATACTCAAATGTTCACACTAGGAAACAGCTACAATGAATGTCAGCTACAGTGTCTTTCTCATTTTTCTTTTTTCGTTTCCAAAAGTTTCTAAAAACTGGTTGTTGCAATGATAAAAATAAACTCAGCCCAGCAAAAACTGCCTTGAAGAGAAGGGCATGGAGAAAAAGGATTGAGGGAACTGCAAAATCGACTTAGTATATTTTTTTGCAAATATCTGGTAAGACAAAAGAGAAAAGAATTCAAAATTCCAAATCTTTTTAGTTGGGAACTTTTACTTTCATTCTATCTATCTACAACATAACTTTGGAATGTGAAAAACATCACTTCAGAACTAATGTGACCATTTTTTTAATTGTAAGTCCGATTAGTTTATCTCATCGATGGTTTTCATTTCCCATTTCTGGACTTATTCTTTGACACATGTCCGAGTGCCAGAGATAATATCACATACCACAGTGAAATCCACATACAGCATTCTGATCTCAACTGCTGTCAACACATCTAAAAAACCACCATTCACAGGCGGTTTCCTTAGACAGGCAGCATTAAAAGAATATGTCACTTTAAAAAACAGATTCCAACTAAGGAATAAAGAGGCTGAAGTCAATGTGGTAGTGAGCAAAAGAAACAGCTCATACTGGGAATGAACCTGGAGCAGAAGCCCTCACTATACACATGCAGGGAAGGGGAGGGGAGAGAGAAAGATAGAAAGGGAGCAGGAAGGAAGAGAGGGAGAAAGAGAAATACCCAGTAACTTGTTATTCCAAACAAAGCATGGTGAAACTCTCCCCACAGAATGTGTGCCAATGAGAAGTTTATCATGTCTAACCATTTGCAAGTAAATGGTTCTCATGGGAAAGCTATATTATACTAGGAAGTAGGAAATGTCTCAGAAACAATGTGAAATAAGAAACAGCGTCAATTGTTTCCTGAGCTCCAGTTACTCAAGGAGTCAGGAGGTTTTATCTCAAGTCCCCAACAATTCAAGTAAGCAAAGCCAACCAATTTCTTCAGTAAATCAAATGCTGAAAGCTTCATTTAGGAATTAGGAAAATATCACACACACACACACACAAACACACACACACACACACACACACACACACACCAAGGTAGGAATGTTGTCATAATATTTTTCTACGCCTGAATAATGGCAGGTAAGCAAAAATAATGTGTAATTAAGTTACATTAGTCACACTGAGGTTATACAGAAAGATTTGATACATTCACCCAAATCTGTGTTTTACATTCATCAAGCCATTGGAAAGACAGTCTCTTTGGGCCATTAAAATTGTAAGGTCAGATTTCTGACTCTAAAGTGGACTTTAGTCTGCTGAATTACAATGATTCAGACTGAGTCTTCCAACTCTAGACAGGAAGATCCTTTAGCTTTGAGAACCTAATTTAAGTTGTCACCCTCACAAAAATGATACCACCTGCCCTCCTCATGATCTTGTCCCCAACATGTCTACAACTCCTTTCAACAAGTGGGAAGTTTCAGATATGATTCAGCCCTCCAGGCTGCTATGGTGCCCCTCCAGATAACCAAGTGGCAATGGAAGTTCTTTCAGGACATTCCAAATCTCAGGCCCATGTACAAGTGTACCTTAAGAACATAGCTCAGGAGGGGGGACCAAGATGGCGACGGGGCAGTAGGGAAACGCCACAGCTCTCTCCAACCAAAAAGAGAGTTCGAGTTCCAACGTTTAATCTCCCCAAGAGACCGACAACAACAAAAAGACGAACACTCAGAGAAAAACCAGAGGTGGAAAATAACAAAAAAAAGAAAGAGAGGAAAAGAAGAATTTCAGAACAGAGAAGAGCGAAGACCCCTCCCCCAACCTTTACTGGCCGCGCGGCAGTGCGCCAAGCCGCCGGCCAGCCGGCCCGGCGGGGGCTGCCGGAGCCACAGAGACACAGGGGGCTGCTTGCAGATCACCAGGTACCGGATTGCAGAACAGCGGATCGCCAGGAACAGAGAAACCTACCAGCCGGGAGTCTCCAGGAGGATCCCACCCCACCCATCACTCTCCACCGGAGCGGAGAGGCTCCATCCCGCCAAAGCCGCCCGGCACCAGCAGCGCCACAAAGGGACCTGTCTGCAGACCCACCCGCCCAATCGCGATCGCAACGACCCGGCGGGGGGCCGCCCAACCCAGCCCGCAACCACCCCAACTGAACTCGGACTGCAACAACAACTGACGGACTGCAACAACAACTGACGACCTACAGGGTGAGTACCCATCAGGGGACAGGGAATCCATCAAGGGAGACCAGAGCTGGAGGGAATCCCCAGACCCTGACCTAGACTCCCTACCCCAACACCCGGGCCACAGGACCCACTAAAACTGGGAACTGTTCGAGAGCTCCACCAGCCGGTAGAGCACACTCTGCTGGCCAGGCCAGAGCAAGAGCGCCCTTGGAAGGGAACTTAAATGCTCAAGCCAGGAACAGTGCCCCTGGGTCAAGACTACCAACAGTAGAAGAAATTTGAACTGTGTCCTCCAGGCTGCATAACCAAGGTGGTATACACATTAGCACAGGCCTAACGAGCGCGCTCCAGGCTGGGGCCGGAACCAGGCCAGGGGACCGGCGCCTGAACAAAGCAAAAAGGGTCAGAAGTGGGGCTGTGGCTCAAATGGTAGGGTGCCAGCCCTGAGCTGAAGAGCTGAGGGACAGCACCCAAACCTAGAGTTCAAGCCCACAACCAGCCCAAAACAAACAAACAAAAACACATCAGGAGCCCATAGCAGACTCCAGTATTTGGGAGAGTGCATCCAGAGCATCTGATCTTCCCAAGAGCACCCGCAGGAGCAAACACAAGCAGTCCAGGCTGCTCAACCCTTCCAAAGGCGGGAATTGCTACAGCAGAGAGCTGAGAATCCTAAGTGAATAGCAGCTGGAAATAGGCTCCCAACAGAATCCAGATCAGGCACAGACTCTCTCTACCAATACAGAATCAGCAACCAAGCAAAGACAGACACACCAAAACAAGATTGAAGAGCAGTCTCCTGAACCCCCATGCGAAAATCACAGAGAAAAATCACAAGGTTTACCACTACCCAGGACAGCAAGCTCACCTCAAAAGCCAGCAGCCACGCAGGGGAGAGCCCCAGTGGGAGCAAAGCAGGAATGGAAGACAAAAACTACATCCAAGGGTTGCTGGAGGCAATGACTCAAGAAATAAAGCGAGAAATGGATCAGAAATTGAAAGAGCACAAGGATGAACTATCAAAAGATATACAGGACATCAAACAAAAATTGGATGCAAAAATAGAAGCTGCACAAACCTCAGTAAGAAGTGAGATAAACGCCAAATTAGAGGTAATGCATACTGATATCACCTCATTGAGAGGTGAGATCAGTACTCTGAGAACCAACATTGAATCCATAAAGGGATCCATTTCCACCATGCAAACCACAATAGAAGCCACGGTCAACAGAGTGAATGAAATGGAAGGTAGAGTGTCAGATACAGAAGACAGAATACACCAACTGGACCAAAAAGTGACAGATATGGAAAAATCACTCAAATTAAACCAAAGGGAAATTCAAGAGCAAGCAGATAATGCTAAAAAATTTAACCTTCGCATAATCGGAGTGGACGAAGGTGAGGAATTCCAGAGCAAGGGAATGCAACACCTATTTAACAAGATAGTCAATGAAAATTTTCCCCACCTCAAAAACGACCATCTTAACTACATCACAAAAGCTTATCGAACACCCAACAAGCAAGATCCCAGGAGAAACACTTCTAGGCACATAATAGTAACAATGATGGATCTGAATAATAAGGAAACAATCCTGCATGCAGCAAAAATGAAGAAGGAGCTATACTACAACGGGAAAAAAATTAGAATCACTGCAGATCTCTCCACACAAACAATGAATGCAAGAAAAGCCTGGGAAAGCACCATACGAGCCCTGAGAGCCAATAACTGCCAACCCAGACTGATATACCCGGCAAAGCTAGCATTCACATTCGATGGAGAACTGAAAACTTTTAATAGCAAAGAAAAACTAAATGAATACATAAACATTAAGCCAGCATTACAAAGAATTCTAAGAGGGGGGACACAACCTGAAGAAAGCAACCAGGAACTGGGACCTGC